TTTGCCGCTCTGGCAGGGACGCTACAGCGGGGTGACGGCCATTGTGGTGGGCTCGACGCGAATTAAAGTCATTAATAAAACCCTAAACGACCTCATTATGCACTTTTCGACTTTTAGAGCTAATGAACGAACCTCAGGCGACTCTTACTTATTTTTCACCATTCTTGAGGCTAAAGATAAGCTTTTCACTCCCCGAATCCATTTTCGATCCGTAAAACATAATAGAATGGGTGAATATTGATGGGGGAGGGTTTGGTTATGGATTCTATAGTTGAAACAATCCTAAATTGAATAAGTGGGATCATGGGTTTGATCTGGGGTTCATAAAATTGTTAGTAATTCGGGTAATTAGTGATTGTTTATTGATTCTCATATTATATTGATTGTTTGTAGACCAAGAACAAGCAGAATGAATCCGGAAAGGGAAGGATCATGTCACCCCCCGAGCCTACACCCTGGGCGGGACTGACACTCGAGAACCATTGCTGGCCCCAAGCGACCCCTTTGGCCTGGCTTACTTACTCAGCGGAAGACTTAAACTTTAGAAATAACCTCAAATAAGGAACTTATGAAAAATCTTAGAATGTCTATAAATAAAGCATTCAAAACTAGCCAAAATGGCTACTCAAGTCTCATAGCAAAACATCTGAAATACAAAGCTAAAAGACTCATAACTAATTGTTTGACTATCTATGAAGCCTCTAAAAACAACTGAGATGGATGTTGGGACAAGCCCCACAACATCCTAATGATTTGATAATAAAACAGAAAGCAATAAAAGGAGTCCTACGGAATGCAAGGAGGCTCGCCAACTGACTCTGAACTGCTTACTGGATCAACGATACGCTGGATGCCGATCCTAGTTACATGTGTTTGCATCATAAGACGATGCAGGCCAACTGGCATCAGTACATTGAATGTACGAGTATGCGAGTTGGAATGCTAAATACAACATATGCCTGAAATGAGTCTAAAGAACTTACCTAGCTCAACTCAACTCAACATAACTGAACTCATTTCAATATAAAGTAGTTTAAAACAAGTGCAATATAAAGAAAAGTTGTTTAAAAACATAATGTCAACTCTGAATGTATGTAAGGGTACAACAAAACTCTGAAATATATGTAAAAATACAAATAACTAAGTATATAAGAATACAATAACTTATGTGGAAGTTTCTCTAACCGACAACCATCACGTAAGAGCTAATGTGATGATACAACGTTTTGTCTCACGCTGCTAGGGCCGTCCTATACCTTGCCATGAGTATAAAACCTGAACTACTAAGTGGATCCATTAGTCTATGCTAAAAAGCACTAAAGGAATCATCTAAAAAGTATGACCATTTTCTATCCATGGTGGCTACATGGTTTATGGGGGTTGTAAGTTGTCTGAACTCTCCCCATATCGGTGTTCAATACTACTCCCAAAAATATAATATTAGCTCTTATGTTTAAAAAAAAAAAAGCATACTTCTTCTGTGATTTGAGATTAGTGCTTAAAAGTTTAGCTCAGAGGCTATCTTGAAAATCAAAGTTTCCCTCTTGCTTCATTTAGAAAGCGATTACTCTCTTTTGAAAACTAGCCCGAGGCTCTATGGAAATCGAGGTTTCCTTTCTTGTTCAAATATGAACATTTTAAACCCTTTGGAAATACATAGTCTCCATATACTTTTGAAGAAATAAACTTCAAGTTTTACTCTTTACTCAACTTGAACTTTAAGTCTCAAAACAAAGTTAAAACGTTTGTAAAAGAGCTTTGAAAACTTTGACAAACTTCTCTTGATTTGACTATTAACTTTACTTGAATTGACTCTTAACTCTCGTTGAATTGAATTATGGATTCAAGGATTATGAATTGTGATAGGAAATATCTCATGATGTTTAGGAGTGTTTTTAGATAGCTCAACATGAGAAAAATCGTGAAATCACCGTCTTGGAACAAGTCCGCAACGCAGAGTTGCATTAAAATATTTGCTCGCGAAATTAAATTTTGATACAGAAGAGTCCGTGTCCTAACCGCGACGCGGAGCAACTTTTTGTGCACTAGGGGAGCAAGTTCGCAACACGGACTTGCGTGCCAAAATCTACTCGACTTTTCCTTCTTCGTTTTCCAGCCCTTATTCGCCTAAACTCGACTATTGATCTCAAATTCATTTTAGATCCCGATACCCAACATATGTACTCAAGAACCTAACTCAAAACAACTCTAAAAATCAATGGAAAGATCTCAGAAACTCCTCAATTTATTCCAATTCAAGAACAACATTCAAATTCAAGAATACATGTCAAGAACATCAACTTTCAAACTCTTTTAGGACAAATTTCGCTGAACTAGACATGTTTGGCGCGTGGGTGAACGAATCCGACGCTATGAAAGACTCACATACCTTGTAAGATAAATTCCTTGGCAAAATCCACAACCAAATCGCACGATCTTGGCGAATCTTGAGCTTTTCCTCTCCTTTCTCCGCTTTTCTCTTTTCTCCAAGCCCTAGCGTGAATTTTCAATTGACTAAACTGATCTCATTTTGATTTGACCTTTAATTAATTCACTAAAACGAATTAAATTAATCGGGTAAGAAAAAGACTAATCTACCCTTCAAAAATCCGCATTAGACTTTCTTTAATCACACAGCCCAACTTCTGAAGGACATAACTCACTTATACAAACTCGGAATCGCAAAAATTTGGTGGCGTTGGAAAGATCATTCCAAGAGCTTTCCAACCATATCTGGAAGTACAACTAACTTATCCTGACCTAGGAGTTATGGCCGTTTGAAGTTGACTAAAAACTCAACTTTTCCTAAGCTTAACAAATTTCCAGATTTTCATTATTTCCCAAAAATGACTATTTCCCATTCTATGCTTCTTCCTAGTTATTTCAAATTGCGAGATGTTACAGATCAAGTTTCTTAGGATTTCAAGCTTGTTTCGAGGTAGGTGATGGTTGTGATTCTATAATTGTGTGATGTATATTTGTTCTTGCTTCATTATGATGCATGTATGTATGTGAATGTTGCATTGTTGATCACCCTAATCGTAAATGAGGATAATTAAATGATTGTATGCCATGAATCACCTCTTATTGTATGATTGTGAGAATATACATTGTGATTGTGATTGTGGTTTGTTGAATGGAGCGGTTGCCACGTTCCGGCATAAATATGGGATCGGTTGCCACGCTCCGGCATAAATATGGAATCGGTTGCCACGTTCAAGCACACTAACTTGGATCGGGTACCACGAACCGATATGCTAACCGTTTGCGTTTGGGTTCCATGAGAGGACCATTGAATTACGTTGTGTATCTACTTGTGATAAGTTCGTTCATATCTAATAATGATTGATATTGAAAAATGGTATGTTGCTCTAAATTGATATAACTATGATATGTGAGATCCGCGAAGTTGTTCATTGTTCGTATATGTTGATGATATGGTATATGTTCGATATGTGCATGTGATTATATTATTGTATTGACTAATGTATGTTACACTTATTGGGATAGACGCGTGATCCTACCAGTACACTGTGGTTGTGTACTGATATTGCACTTGCTTGTTCTTTGTTGAGTACATGACATCTTCAGACGGCTATTGATAGACCTCAGCTAGGTGATTATTGAGCGTGATCGGATTCAAGGGTAAGCCAATTCTTTTAGGCTGTCATGAATCTTTCTGGTTTAAGTCCACTCTTTTCGGACTCAAAATATTTGTTTAAGGTGTTGTTTGGTTTTGGGGTTGTACCCCTTGTTCTTAGACTTGTCGTTAGTAGAGTTTTAGTACAATGACTTTCAGGTTCTAGGGGTGAATATCCGCATTAGTTTGGTTAAGTTATTTGTTTAAAACTTGGGGAGTTTATGAGAACTCCATATTTCTTTTAGTCATTTAAACCTGTTTCCGTATCTTTAAATGCCTTAATTTTTTGTTGTGTTGTTAGTTTGGGTTGTAGTAATGGTTCTCCCATCGAAGGGTTAGTATGGATGCCAATCATGACGGTCTTGGTCATGACATTTATGCAAATGAATGGGATCAAATTTTGTTGCACCAAATCTCCAGTAGTGCAAATCCTATATGCAATGTCATTAAGGTTTGGAGCTCAATATAGTAGGAAGAAAAATAATTCAAAATTTCATCATAGTTATATTATCAACCATTTATATTGCCTTTTTTTTTGTTTTTGTTTTAGGGTTACCACCTCATGTTTATAACATAACATGTACTAGTTGACTTCAAACTAATTGACATTACACAAAACCATTACATGCACCGTCTATATATATTTGATTCTTTGTAAAAAAAAAAACAATGTTTTATACATATAAACTTAAATATACAAAACATCCTTTTAATTTTTTATTTATGATTTTTAAGTAGCACGTAAAGACAAAAAATGGACATATGAGACAGAACCGGAAGGAGTAATTAAAATATAAAGAACACGGTAAAAACAACTAAATATGTACTAATTCCTATATAAATATTTCATCACATAAATCTAGATGTATTCTCCTATGTACAAGGATTTAGTTGAATTCTAATTTGTGGAGAACTGCATTCCCTGCATGGAATATTCTGTCATATTCCATCGAATTCCCATAAAAAATTAAATCTCCCAACTAATTAATGAAAAGTTATTTATTATACCGTAAAGAATAAGGTATTTATCCACCGCACGATGATCCGTTTGAATCAAGTATATCAAAATCTAACGTCTAATATCCAAAAATTATTAAGGATGCTGAAAGAAGAAAACCAAGTGAGTTTAGGAATTTGAGTGGCTTTGCGTTAACTTACCACTAACTTATGTAATATTCCCTTGGCATCTTTTTTTTTTTTTTTTGCCTAATTCTGTTTTTCCCCTCCCTATAAAGCTTCCTCTGTAGTTTGGTGTTCACAAACACAAATAGTAAAAATCCCAAAAGAACAAGAAACAGAGGTGTTCTTCTATATTCATCTCTTTTCTTGTTTCTAACCAATCTAGAAGTTTGTATAAGAAATGGCTGGAATTGTAGTGGTTTTTGACTTTGACAAGACGATCATTGATGTTGATAGTGATAATTGGGTGGTGGATGAGTTAGGCGCTACTGATTTGTTCAATCAACTTCTCCCAACTATGCCTTGGAACTCTCTCATGGTTAGTTTTCCTTTTCTCTTCGTGTTATGAACTTTTCTTTTTCTTTTTTTGTCTCTCGCTAGAAGCTGATAATTTCTGTTACAGGATAGAATGATGGAGGAGCTTCATGTACAAGGCAAAACTATTGCAGATATTGAAGAGGTATTGAAACGGGTTCCCATACACCCCAGGATTGTCCCAGCAATTAAATCAGCTTATGCATTAGGGTACTTATATTTCAATTACAGCTTCTTCTTTTTTAATCAGAGAATTTTGTTATGGGTTTAAACTAATTGAATGTGTGTTAATATTATATTCAGGTGTGATTTGAGAGTAATAAGCGATGCAAATGTATTCTTCATTGAAACTATCTTGAAACATGTCGGAATTAGGGATTGTTTCTCTGAGATTAACACGAATCCAGGCTACGTCGATGAAGAAGGCAGGCTTCGAATCCTCCCTTATGTTGATTTTATAACATCCCCTCATGGCTGCAATCTCTGCCCTCCCAACATGTGCAAGGTAGCTAAATACTAAATCCTTTAATTTAGATTTAATATGAAATTAGCTAAGTTTTCCTAATTGAGATTCTGTTTAATGCAGGGTACGATAGTAGAAAGAATTCAAGCCAGCATCCCTAAAGAAGGGAAGAAAAGAATGATCTATCTAGGCGATGGAATCGGCGATTTCTGTCCCAGTTTGAAGCTCATGGAAACAGATTTTGTGATGCCAAGAAAAGATTTCCCAGCCTGGAATTTGATAAATAAAAACAGGACACTAGTAAAAGCAACTGTCCACGAGTGGACTAATGGGGAAGAGTTCGAGCACATTCTACTACAACTAATTAACACAATCACTGTTGAAGAAAGCCAATTGTTATCAGTTGAGTACTGCAAATTCCAGACAATGTCCAAAGCAGCCTTACCACGGGCTCTTCCAGTGCCTTACTAAATACTAATGTCAAGTTTGCTTAAGTCATTACCATGAAGCTTGTGACTAGCAATTGGTTTTGATTTTAGGTAGTTAAATATAGTTTCTTTGTTAAGTGGGCTACAACATTGTTGTAATTAGTTGTTGTTTTTATTTTTATGTATGGCATTTTTTCTATCAAAACTTAAAAAGTGATTGTTGTATTTGAACATGTGGCTTGCGTTCTGAAACTCTTAATACTCCTTTTTAAACAGATTTATTAGTTATTCCCTTAATTCTTATTTATATGCGTTACTTACTAAAAAATACATGTTCTTAAATACTAGTCATTTCACAAAAGCAATTAATAAATAACGATATTATTCCTATTTTACCTTGAATTATTAGCCTTGAAAGGACGGATTTGATCAACATAAGAAAATTAAATGATTAATTCATATTCATTGGTCAATTTAATTAATCAAAATAAATTAATTTATGTTTATTTATTGAAAATTTGACTTCAAGAGATCACTAAATAAGTTTACAATGATAAACTTACAAAATTTCGTAAATGACGTGAAATCTAAAATGATGACATATAAATAGAAATGAAGGGAGTACTATTCTATTAACCTATCTAATATAATAATAGAAAAATCACTAAAACAATTTTGCCCTTTCTACATGTGTAGGGTGTGCAAAAATAGAATTCATTAATAAATCGAATCGAAAAAAATGTTAATACGTTTATCATTATTCGATTAACAGGTTGTTAATGGGATTATTAAAATAAAAAAAGGGTTATCAGATCAGTTTTTATTGAGCTACTGGATAAATTTATAATCCATTAAAATTGTTGTAATTTACTTCTTTACTCCTACATAAATATTAAATATTAATCTCAATACCTCACTAATTATCACATTTGCCCATTAGCCTTCAATTCACACTTTATAGTAATTTTGAGTTCAAAAGTTCACATTAAACAAAATGTTAAAACCTAAAGTAAGTACCCTATTCCTCTTCATTTCTCTTTGTGACACACTTTTATAATTATTTTCATGTTAGCTACTATTGTTTCAATTTTATGAGTGTTTATAAACTTACATTATTGTCTTGTCGCGTCAAATTATTGGAGAAGTCATATAATGTATATGTTTTATAAACTTTTTCTTATTGATTAAACTAAATATCAAATTGTTAAGGATTAAAATCGATAAAAAATATCTTATTGATTTAGCGTAATTAAAAATTAAAAAAATGATAAATCAAATCGATAATGCATTAAAACCAACTAATGCACACTCCTATATTTACCTTTATAGATAGAGATTCAATTGAACTCGTAATTTTTGTTGTGCTTCATAAATTATATATAAACATTTATTACAATTATAATAAATACTCCTAATAGATATGGACACATAATTTTAAAATTTATCTCTAAGAATGTTTTGAAAAAATTCGGTATAGTGATACTTTAATCTTTAATTTTTAACTAATACTTTATGTGTTCCATATTAGATGAACACTTTCTATTTTATACGATAATTAAAAAACAATTAATAGATTGATCAATTTTACTATTTTGTCCTTTGTTCATATTAATTAGCCTCTTGAAAAAAGAAATTTTGAATCTTCAAATTTATTTAAACTTCCAAAGGCCATATTAATTGTAGAAGTAAAATAAGAAAAAATTAATTAATTCTATCCTAATTTAGAGGGTGTTTGGATTGACTTAAAAGTTGGTCAAACCTACTTTTCAGTCAGCTTTTGACTTCGGAAAGTGTTTGACAAATATAAAAAGTAATTTAAAATAAGCTAGAAAGTGTTTGGCAAGGTCAAAAACAACTTATAATAAGTTAAAAATGACTTAAAATAAGTCAGAAACCAAAAATAGATCTCCCCCTACTTTTTATTTTTTGACTTAAAAGTCATTTTAGTTTGACTTTTTATTTTTGACTTAAAAACTACTTTTTTAAAGGCATTCCAAACATACGTGATCAAATAATATTGGATAAATATTTTTCGTAAGAGGCTCATCTAATATTAACCGGATGGAGTACTAATGATTTATTGATTTTTTGTCAAAGTAGAATGTTTTCTCCATTTGGAGTATGATGTGACAATTTTTAAAAAAAATAAAAGAGAGAGGGTAGTACACACGTCATCAAGAGCATGGACGAACTAAGTGGGGATTCGTGGGTTCGCACGAATCCAATAGTTTTTCATAGATTTTGTAGTTGTATTAGAAAATTTTATATCCATAGATGAGCAGTTCTGTCCTAAAATTTAGTACCCAAACTTTTAATCCTGATTGTACCTCTGATTAAGAGAGTGATAAAAGAGAGGTATGTCCCAAGAAAATCAGCACGCCCTTTAATGAAATTAGACAAAGCAATTTAGCCATTACATCAATTTTCGTTTGGTCAACTTCAATGTCCTTGTTCGAAAATTAAAACTCCAAACTCCTAATCCTATTTCAATCCCAATAGTACCTATGATTAAGAGACTCAGAAGATTCTAGTTTAAAAAAATTGAAGTTTTCTAGTCAATCAAGTATTGAGGAAATTCCATTACAATAACTTTAGATTTTATTTTTCTTGACATGCAATGTCATATTGATTTTTTGTTGACATGCAATGTCAGATAAATTTCTTATTTTAATATGTCAATTAAGACGAAACCTAGACTAATTTTGAAAACATAAAATAATCGAAAAACTACAACTTGATAAATCCATATTTTGTAGTATACTAGTATTGCTCCCTAGATATTTTCGAGAATGTTGAAAAGTTCAATATGATACCTGTCTTGCTAAAAGAAATTCCAAAAGCTGAATCAATTTTTTGAAATCGAAGATTAGTAAAGTAGTGAGTGATATGACAAGCTTCTAGAGGTTGAACTTTTAAAAATAAAAAAGAAGAAGGGAAAATTAGTAAATTAGTCAAAATTCTTAACATAATTATTAAAAATATCTACATTTAAAAATAATTATTAAAAATGTTAATATGTCAATATTTTAGCAAATATAGTGTATCATAATATAATTAATTTCCTTTCCTTTTTTTTTTCTCAAATCAGTCCCACATAAGACTCATTTTTTACCCACTAAGTGGTGATAAAAAAAAAAAAAAAACCTCATTACCCATTTTCACCTTTTTCTAGGTTTTTACTCCAAATTTCTCTTTTCTTTCTGTCTCTTTGATAGGTGACGTTTTTTTTTCCAATTATTTTCAGAAATTGGTAAAAACTTCAAAAAGATAACCACAACAATCTCATTGATTTAGGTATAAATTCTTCTCTAATGGCGGATTCAAAGAGGACTACAAGAGGTTCCACGTAATGATGATTTTTTAGCGATTTTCCATCTTTTGATCTTTGTATCACTCAAGGACAAGTCGGTAATGTAGGATTGACGGCTAGAATGGTGGAAGAAAACAGATCTAAGCATTTACATGATTCTATTCGCATGCAAAACCTTCCTCAATTACAGAATATAAACATCATCAAGAGTAAGGACACAAACAATGAAAAGAAAAAGGAAACGATAGGCTTTTCGTCTACCAGTAGTGAAGTCCAAAAGGTTGATGAAGATCAAATGGTGGATGAACAACTTCATGAAGACAAAATTGCTTTATGTGTGTATTCCTTTGTTCCCTTTCAAATTTAAATAATCTGGGAACATAATATGTATTCCTTTTTATAAAAAAATTACTTATGTTTGGATACAACTCATAACTAAACTATAGTATATTTATCAGATTTTCATTGGTTTTTATACATAAATATTGTATTCATTCTAACTGTATGACATCAAGTTTTGTAATTTTATCTTCATTTTGTTTTTATATTGTGAATTGGATACAACTTTTGCCGTTCATTATATCATTTTGTTGGGATTCTATAGAATACAACATATTTATGTATTTCTTATATCTGTATGTCTATTAGTTTTGTATTTATGTTATCAAATTGTATTAATCATACAAAATTAGTAGTTCAAAATAGTATCTTGCAGCTGATTGTGTGAAATATATACAACATAATTATTTTGTGGGGATTAGATGGAATACAACATATTTTTTGTTATATTGCTTCTTATTTTGTATTTATTCTAACTGTGCCTACTAATTTTGTATTTTTGTCATCAAATTGTATTCAACCTTGGCAGTGGATACAAAGTTAGTAGTTCATAATAGTATATTTCTAGCTAATTATCTAGAATAATACATAATTTTTGTTTGTATTTCTTTTTTATTTGCATTCATTCTAACAGTATGCCATCAAAATTTTTGTATTTCTGAACGCACAATGTATCTCAATATCTCAAGAATTTAGGTGCATCTGAGCACATAAACCCTTTTGGTAAAATTCCGCAAGGAAGGGTGACCAAGAGGGCGATTGTGGCTGTAGTCTGGTTAACTGCTTCCACAAGCGCCCAACCTGCTGATAAGTATTATGTAATAAAAGAATCAGGATCTGCGAGATATGAATATGAAACTGGATATGCTCGAATCGGATCGCATCTCGATTTGCACATGGATAATCTGTTGTATTACCCTAAAGAGTCATACTCATATCCAGGGCATTTTGTCCTTGAAAGAGCGTCATCAGTCTAGCTCGTCATGAGCGGAATTGGTCTTGGCCGGACTCACTAATTAAATCTCAATTTAAAAGTTTTTAAAATATTCTCTCCCATGGTTTTCTCCATTTTTTTATTAACTAATTGTATTATTTAAAATTAAACAAATGAAAAACAAATACATAATTAACCCTATAACAAAAGAAAATATTGATATTTTTAATAAATATTGAAAATGTGGCTAAATAGCCCTATTAAATGTTAAAATATTGACATTTTGAAAATTTTCCCAAAAAAATATTATATTATTCTTTGAAAATTGAACTAAAGAAATGTTACCACATAAACTGAAAGGTGAAAGTATATATTATGATAGCATTATCTTTTGTGCAGGGGCGGCTCAACGTAATTAGGGGCCTAAAGCGAAATTTCAATTTGAGGCCTAAAATATAAATAAAAACTTTGTATACATATTTATTCAAAAATTATTTCTCTTACACTATTTAGATGAAATTATAAGTATGTAATATTGTTTTTTCAGTTATTGATTTTAGGTAAGATTTTATCAATTCAACATTAAAAAACATCCTTTTAGTGAGACAATTATTATATGAAT